AGATCTGGTAGACTGGCTCAGGTTTTGCTGGTACAATAACTGGCAAACACTCTGGCACTGGAGTGTCAGTCTCCGCCTCCTTAAGTAGGAGCCTCCTGATGAGCAGATTGAAGACAGGTGTTGCAGTCAGCTCATGCCCCCAGGAGATCTAGTGCGCCCTCTGGTGGAGAAGATGGACACAGCCTCCAGATCCCAACACTTTCTTCTTCCAATGATCTTTAGAGCCCTGCTTTCTTAGAGAGGTTGCAGAATATGTAACCCTAGGCTTTGTCTTGCACCACGTTCCCAGAGCTGCTAACACTACAACCTTTAAATACTTGAGTTCCTGTCCATGATCCACGTCTGTGATCTGGCTGATTACAGCTACGGTTCCCCTCCTTCAGATGCAGTGCAATGAACTTGTTTTGACCACTAGATTCTGTTCAGGGTCAATGATGAACTTTAAGCCAGTGGTTGAACTAAGGAAAACGGGAAAGAAAACATCACCTAAAAATATGCTGCTGGATCATCATCTCTCATCATGAATTAAATCTCTGATGTTTCCATAAATGCTCATATTGCACATAGTTTCTATTCGCTCTCAAAACATATTGATTTTACAATGATCATCATATCCATTCAAATCAAACACCAGATCTCTGAATAAACGTGTTTTGTAAGATTTCTTGGAATGTGTAAAGCACCTTCTGCACATATTGACAGGAAGATTTCTCTCTGTGTAAAGAGAGATAGGATCAAGTGATAAATGATTACCATCCTGCAGATAAGAAATGCATTTCAGGTTTGTCGCATCCTCACCGTTGTTTACTCTAATGTGTGAATATATCTACATTTGTGTGTGAGAACGAGGGAAAAAAAAGCAAAGGAGCCGAGATGTTTTTCACTCCCAGACATTTTATTGATTTTACCTTAATGTGCACCATCGTTCACATCGTGAAGGACAAAGTGTTTGGAAGTAAAATGATCATTCAAAGCCTTTTTTGTAGCAGCAACTCTTGATGTCAGGGAAATGTCAATTTATCTGCACCCGGATGAAAACGGCTTTCTTTTAATGCTTAATTATATTCATTTTTTTTCATGGTTTAGCCCTACATCTGCAGGCCTCTGGAGGGAGGCAGCTCCTGCAATAAGCTTCATCAAAACCATAAATCACAGCGCCTAATAGCTTTCATTAACAATCACAACACTTCTGCATCTGTGTGCATGTCGCTCTAATTGGGGCAATTTGTCCCGATCAGTTTGGGGACAAAGTGCAGCTCTGCCTTTTCATTTGTAGTACAAACACCTAATAGGCTGGGTACATAGAGTTCTAAACACAGAAAGGTTGTTGGATCATCTCTGAAGTCAAAGCAACAAAGTTCAACACATTAAAAACTATATTTTATAGCAATATCTCTAAGTAGCTTTGCACCCATCTGTCTCTTCCTTTGCTGTGCTTTTACTACCAGATTAGGCAATGATCCAACTGTGGAGTTAATGCACTACTCCAGTTGCTACAAAAACATCCCCAATCACCACCCTGCCACCATCATGCTTGAGAATTAGAGATATTTGCACTGATATGTCAAAGTGAGGTCTATCTGTCCTAAGCAAAGGCTGAAAATTCTTTAAGCAAGATTTTGCAAACTTGAGTCTTACTCAGCAGCCTGAAATGACTGAAATACGGGTTTTTCTTTTGCCCATATTCCTGTATCTGATCATTTCATGACAGTCTGAACAACACAGATCTAATCTTTTCAAATGCAACCTGTGTCTAAACGGCCATTCATCCGACCTGAACGCCATTAATACTCGACAAAGGTCACATTCTGCATCTTGCTACGCAGAATAGGGGAAGAAAAACAACAACAATCATGGCGAACGGTAAAGCAGATCTTTATTTTTAACCTTCTTGAAAAAATTTTGATTTTAATGCATTGAGGCTGAGGTTGGGAAAGAAATGAAAGATCGCTTGAAGTGCCACCATCCATGTTTACTTTCGTTTTCAAAGAGCACGCTTGCTTGTGACGTCATTGCGTCCTCTATTGCACATGCGGGACACTTAAGTTGTTTAAATGCAGTTCACACAGGAGATCACATACAAGTCACATATATTTGGAAATGTGAACAACCACGCTAAAGAATCAGATTCCACAAAAAAAAAAAAAAACGGAATTGAGCATCAAGTCCTGCAGTGTCAAAGTAGCCTTATTCACAAAGACTTATTCAATGCAGTGTTTCATTGTGGGCAGGATCAGACTCACCTGACTGAAACTGACCAGACCGATCACAATGTTTGAACCAAAATTACCCTTAATGCAACAGGGTTTTTTTCTATCCATGAAGTATTTTTCCCAACCAGAGCAACAGATCTGGTTGGGATCTGTTTGGGATGTTATCCCTATGCATAGAGGTGCAACATGAGCAAAGCCACCCAAAGGAATCCAACATGCACTTTTCTAGTGACATATTGGTGATTCCAGGGACAAGGGAGCCAAACGTCAACTGCAACTGGATGCAAAGTGACTGTCGGAGTAGGAAAATCTGAGCATTTGTGTCGTGTTACATTGTGACAACCAAATCTGTACTAGATGTGGCTGTTATGTGAGGTGTGGGTACTTTTCTAATGAAAATGGAAAATAGGGGAAATAATAGGGATGAAGTAGGGTATGGCCTGTATGGTTTGTAGGATGCTGTTTTAATTTAGCAAAATTGCACTTTGTGCGTGAGAAACGATTGCAGCCATATAGGACCAATGTTTGAATGATGCCCTTTATTATGTCCCCCTATGAGTTCGATATATCTTTAACATTTCAGCAAGTGGATACTTATAAAAGCTTTCCTCCCCCAGTTATCTTATTGGTTCTAAGCTGTTTCCACTGACTTTTAGACTCACCTGATCCCACCTTCAAAATACGACTGTTTTCAAGTCTGACAAGTTGTTTATAGAGCATAAGCCAGCCTATTGTATTCCCTTATTATTCTTTAGAGCAGTGGTCACCGACCTTTAAAGGCTTAGAACTATTTTATGGGTACTGAGTCATAGGAAGAGCTACCAATGAAATGGTCAGAGTTCACCTAAACCTCATGCATCATAAACATTTTTTTGTTTAATTTTTATTTTCCTTTGTACATTGCCATTTTGAAATCTCTAAACCTGAAATACTCTATAAATTATTAAAAAGGTAAGAGAAATAGGTAAATGAATTTTATATATTTATATTTTCCCTGTTTTAGAGGCTTTCTCTTTAATGATTCCAACATCTTTGTTTAGGTTGGCAGCCATCTTGCTTCCTTAAAATAATGGAATTTCATTTTTTTGGGAAATATTCCAACTGTTATCAGATGATTTCATGGATTCTTATTACATAGTCTTTCAAAAATGTCATTAAACGAAAAAAGATTTGGTAAAAATACATATCCTGCTGCTTTTCCGTCTTTGTTTTCTGATCGCTGTCTGTTCCTTCTTCTTGTTTCATGGCAGTGATTATGGCTACGAGAGAAGGACTGATGGGAAGTGCAGCCCCGCCTTTTGGTTCCATCCATCTGCGATGTCCCGGAGCTGCACAACAGGAATGACTTTTCTCAACAGCACCGGGTAAATGGGCGCAGAACCATCATCAGATGATAAACAGGGGGTTGGTTTGTTGTCATGGGAACATTGCAGCTGAAGGTGCTGAAAAACACATCTAAAGGCTTGAGAATTAAATTTGTTTTGCAAACAATAATGTATTAGCTGCTAAACATGACTGAAACACAGAAAGAGCCGTTTGAATCTGCAGTCATCTGTAGTTATGCAGCAAAATCGGTATTAAAGGAAAAGTTTGGTCAGCAAGGAATAACCATTGGATCATTATTTAGAACTAGAACTAATACATTCATGGCGAGTTAATCAATTTAGCCTTAATCAGTAAAAAGATAAAAACAATAATTCTCGGCACGATCAATAAGTCTGGGAGCGGCTGTTTTTGCCCAAATATAGTAACACCTAACTCCTGACATCTTCTGGCCGTGACGTCACGGTGCGGTAAGCCTAGCGCCATTCTCCCCGCTTTACAAGCAAAATCAATGGGAACTACTAGACACATCTGCAAT